ATTAGCCCGGTCATAGGAAACAATGCAAGCCAGCGCACATTGTGTGCACCATCTCAACCCTGGGGAGCAATCCTCCTAAGCGGCTCATGGGCATTGAGAAGATCTTGTACATGAGGGGTCTTACCTCCTACGGGTATTCATTTATACACCCGAGTATAAAGCATCTATAATTGTGGATAAATTGCTTTGATGAAGGTCAAAAAGGCAGTGGGAAAGGTTCGAACTCGGGATCCTATTATCGGAAAGCATGCGCTCTACCAATCTTGAAAAGCCACATGCACATGAATGTGCATATAGCGCGAATTCCTGTATATACTTGTACAGGACGGTCGGACAGATGACCCCCTTGATCGACGTTCATGATCACAAATAAAATACTAATCATATATATACAAATAATGTCCCCATAGCCCTGTCTAATCGTGGTTACTACAGTGTCCTCTTGTTTCGGAGTTGCAAAGTGCTTAAATAACGTAGGCATTGTAATAATTACTAAAGCCAATATCAGTTAACTATAATAACTATAATAATTATGATTAAAAGTTATATTTCGAGTTATATAGCGCCAATTTTGATGATTAGCGCTTTACAATGATATTATTAACCCGGTCATAGGAAACAATGCAAGCCAGCGCACATTGTGTGCACCATCTCAACTCCCTGGGGAGCAATCCTCCTAAGCGGCTCATGGGCATTGAGAAGATCTTGTACATGAGGGGTCTTACCTCCTACAGGGTATTCATTTATACACCCGAGTATAAAGCATCAATAATGTGGATTTATTGCTTTGATGAAGGTCAAAAAGGCAGTGGGAAAGGTTCGAACTCGGGATCCTATTATCGGAAAGCATGTGCTCTACAATCTTGAAAAGCCACATGCACATGAATGTGCATATAGCGCGAATTCCTGTATATACTTGTACAGGAAGTCGGACAGATGACCCCCTTGATCGACGTTCATGATCACAAATAAAATACTAATCATATATATACAAATAATGTCCCCATAGCCCTGTCTAATAGTGGTTACTACAGTGTCCTCTTGTTTCGGAGTTGCAAAGTACTTAAATAACGTAGGCATTGTAATAATTACTAAAGCCAGTATAGTTAACTATAATAAGTATAATAAGTTATAATTAAAAGTTATATTTCGAGTTATATAGCGCCATTTTGAATGATGAGCGCTTTACAATGATATCATTAGCCCGGTCATAGGAAACAATGCAAGCCAGCGCACATTGTGTGCACCATCTCAACTCCCTGGGGAGCAATCCTCCTAAGCGGCTCATGGGCATTGAGAAGATCTTGTACATGAGGGGTCTTACCTCCTACAGGGTATTCATTTATACACCCGAGTATAAAGCATCTATAATTGTGGATAAATTGCTTTGATGAAGGTCAAAAGGCAGTGGGAAAGGTTCGAACTCGGGATCCTATTATCGGAAAGCATGCGCTCTACCAATCTTGAAAAGCCACATGCACATGAATGTGCATATAGCGCGAATTCCTGTATATACTTGTACAGGACGGTCGGACAGATGACCCCCTTGATCGACGTTCATGATCACAAATAAAATACTTATCATATATATACAAATAATGTCCCCATAGCCCTGTCTAATCGTGGTTACTACAGTGTCTCTTGTTTCGGAGTTGCAAAGTACTTAAATAACGTAGGCATTGTAATAATTACTAAAGCCAGTATTAGTTAACTATAATAACTATAATAAGTTATAATTAAAAGTTATATTTCGAGTTATATAGCGCCAATTTTGAATGAGAGCGCTTTACAATGATATTATTAGCCCGGTCATAGGAAACAATGCAAGCCAGCGCACATTGTGTGCACCATCTCAACTCCCTGGGGAGCAATCCTCCTAAGCGGCTCATGGGCATTGAGAAGATCTTGTACATGAGGGGTCTTACCTCCTACAGGGTATTCATTTATACACCCGAGTATAAAGCATCTATAATTGTGGATAAATTGCTTTGATGAAGGTCAAAAAGGCAGTGGAAAGGTTCGAACTCGGGATCCTATTATCGGAAAGCATGCGCTCTACCAATCTTGAAAAGCACATGCACATGAATGTGCATATAGCGCGAATTCCTGTATATATACTTGTACAGGACGGTCGGACAGATGACCCCCTTGATCGACGTTCATGATCACAAATAAAATACTAATCATATATATACAAATAATGTCCCCATAGCCCTGTCTAATCGTGGTTACTACAGTGTCCTCTTGTTTCGGAGTTGCAAAGTGCTTAAATAACGTAGGCATTGTAATAATTACTAAAGACAATATCAGTTAACTATAAGTTATGATAATAGTTATATTTCGAGTTATATAGCGCAATTTTGGATGATTAGCGCTTTACAATGATATTATTAGCCCGGTCATAGGAAACAATGCAAGCCAGCGCACATTGTGTGCACCATCTCAACTCCCTGGGGAGCAATCCTCCTAAGCGGTTCATGGGCATTGAGAAGATCTTGTTCATGAGGGGTCTTACCTCCTACAGGGTATTCATTTATACACCCGAGTATAAAGCATCAATAAATGTGGATAAATTGCTTTGATGAAGGTCAAAAAGGCAGTGGGAAAGGTTCGAACTCGGGATCCTATTATCGGAAAGCATGCGCTCTACAATCTTGAAAAGTCACATGCACATGAATGTGCATATAGCGCGAATTCCTGTATATACTTGTACAGGAAGTCGGACAGATGACCCCCTTGATCGACGTTCATGGTCACAAATAAAATACTAATCATATATATACAAATAATGTCCCCATAGCCCTGTCTAATAGTGGTTACTACAGTGTCCTCTTGTTTCGGAGTTGCAAAGTGCTTAAATAACGTAGGCATTGTAATAATTACTAAAGCCAATATCAGTTAACTACAATAACTATAATAAGTTATGATTAAAAGTTATATTTCGAGTTATATAGCGCCAATTTTGAATGATGGGCGCTTTACAATGATATTATTAGCCCGGTCATAGGAAACAATGCAAGCCAGCGCACATTGTGTGCACCATCTCAACTCCCTGGGGAGCAATCCTCCTAAGCGGCTCATGGGCATTGAGAAGATCTTGTACATGAGGGGTCTTACCTCCTACAGGGTATTCATGTATACACCCGAGTATAAAGCATCTATAATTGTGGATAAATTGCTTTGATGAAGGTCAAAAAGGCAGTGGGAAAGGTTCGAACTCGGGATCCTATTATCGGAAAGCATGCGCTCTACCAATCTTGAAAAGCCACATGCACATGAATGTGCATATAGCGCGAATTCCTGTATATACTTGTACAGGACGGTCGGACAGAATCGGCGTTTACATGAACCGTCGAATCCGTCCACTGAATTCTAAATCTTACTTTCGAGAAAAAAAGGGTTTGAAAGTTTGACATTTTCCAACAGCGCTACAGCGCAATGTACGATAATTGCTATTGATAATTTTTAGTTAGTGTGAAAGCCTGAAACCAGCTTATAATCACCATATAAAAAACTAATCATAATTTTGAACGATCGTCGAGTAATGATAAAATAAGAATGATGATGTAATTTCGCACTACGCCTTTTACACCAAAAGTGGCAAGCGGAGCGCATTCGACGGTTCATAAAAACAAAAAGTGAATACGCGCAACACAAAAGCGCTGAATGCGCATGGATTCGTCGGTTCATGCAACCGTTCTTGCTCGTTTAATACACGCGCCCAATGCGGGTCATCGAACTTTCAATGTTGAACTGTTCGAGCTTACCTATCGAGTAATTTGGTTTAGGCCTACTACTTTCATTTTTCTTAATGAGACTTTAATTGATAAATGAATAATTCAGGAAATAACAGGACTTCATAAACATTTCCTAAATATTGATCTCCCTTCAAATTGTGTTCCTTATAATATTGTTTCTGTTTCAATTTGTTATTTGTCTAATAAGCCACTCTACCCCCCCCCCCCCCATCACATCTTGTTTCCCCAATCGTTTTCTATATAATTCATCTTTATATGGAGTTGAATTCAACCACTCATTGAATCATTGCATACTGCTTGGCCTCTCGATCATACCACTTCATTATTTTCTTTATCCTCTTTCTGATTTCTCTTTCACTTTTCTGAATCAATTTGATCTCCATATATTTTCGCTCACAATTTGGGTATTTTCATGATCATATAATTCCATTTCCAACACTCCTACATGTATACCATCTCTCTTCAAAGACCTTGATTTATATGAACGAAAATGTAACCATAAACTAAACACATTATTGATATCGGGCTTGACATGTAGCATCTACTTCTAGTATAGGAAATAATCCTGAACTGAAGTTTGTAACCCCTTTTCCTGAAGTATGACAGGTAGATTACTACAATTATGTTGAACATTGTATATAATATGTTATCAAATAATAACTAAACACAACAAAATTATATTTTCACATCCAAACTTATTTGACATCAATCTTAAACACACTAGACAAAGCTTATTTAATAATCAATTATCACAAATTACAACTCTTTGAGTAATAACAACTGTGGCATTGATACCGCTGACGATTGTAGTGTGACCTAATCTAAAAACACATCATAATCCTATATATTTAGGTGAAGTAATAGGACAATTTTCGAGTGTTACACATATTTAATGAATAAAATAAATTAAATCAAATCATGCGCCATTCAGTGTACTTATTTTCTTGGGCTATATCATGAATTCATCACGAGTTACATAATATTATCATGAGATTCAAAACGATTTGAGTAAAGGTCAAATAAAGATCTGCATTAAAGTGAACTGGTAACAATGTTCATGATTTCACAAGCAGTGAGCTGAAATAACAAGCCAGAAAGTTATAACTTTTCCAGTTCAAATCAGCTTCTGACCTGGTATACTATACCTCATATTGTCCAATAGGTAATGCACAAGAACAACGGTTTTCACGAAACCATGTAACACTATTCACACATATATTTTCAGTGAAGATATGTTTTTGAAATTATTTGTATTTACAGTGCGTTATTCCTTCATCAAAAGTTTAAGATACAGTATCACAATTAAAAAAAACTCTCTAATACAATGCGGCCAGTTCACTAATTGTTATTAAATGCCCCTTGTCAATGTACTAAATTTGTAATGCGCTTATGGTAACTTTGCCTTGAACTTGTACTGATCTTCAATACCTAATATAAATAACCACTTAAAGAGGTAATGTTCAACACAGTAAGGGCTCAACATGATGTATGATCATGAACCCAACACTATACATATGCACATTAAGCCGGCACCCATTGGCACCAAAACAAATTGAACATCCTTGCCCAACTGTCAGCTATTGTAGCTTTAACCAGATGTGGTAGCTTGAAATATTCTATTTTACAAAAGTGGGCAAATAGCAAAAGATAATAAAAATATCTTGGATATGAATCATAATTACAACATGTAAGCATGCTCCATCAGTGTAACCATAGAATCCTGAAAGGTTTTACATTCATTTGCATCAATTTATTGACAATTAAATTAGGCTGAATCTTTTATATTTTTCATTCATCACTTTGCTTTTTATAATTATGAAATTCTTAACCTTGAAATCTTGATGTTCTTACAGGTGTAATAATAATAATATTCTGTTTTTATATAGCACATGATACATCAATAAAACGATGTGTCTAAGTGCTTTACAGATATATATATATCATTACCCAGTCATCTGATTTAGGCTTGCCAGCACACAATGTATGCATGTTCTTCACTCCCTGGGGAGCATTCCGCCCAGTCCCCATTTTACAAACGCACACTTGCTCATCCAACTACATTAACTTTTGCATCCTACCGGGTACCCATTTAACACCTGGGTGGAGAGTGACAAATGTAGATTAACGTCTCGCCAAAGGACATTAGTGCTGCAGCAGAACTTGAACCCTGTACCTTGTGATCTGCAGTCGGATGACTTATCCACTAGACCACAACACCTCTATGATGAAAGTAAAGTTGAGTTATCACATTCCTGGAATCTGGTGGTACATGTACAAGAGATTGCAGCACAAAGCAAGTTCAGGTCATCTCCACCTGAAAATAAAATAAAAAGATAACTGCATGTGATGTCTTGCCTGCACCTCACAATTTGCCTATTACGTATGAACACTACCAATTGATATCTAAATTTGGTAGCATTCGGCCAAGTTGACTAAAAACAGGTGAAATGACCAACCACTGGATGGCAACACTATTCATTCACTAAAACATAATTGATTTTTGATCTTGGTGATGAAATTCTTCCTCATAATGGTTGGGTGCAGGTTTAATGAAATTTGGACATATACTTCTGAAATGACAATTTAACAAAAGGTTATTTTTGAAGCAAAATATAACACAAGTGACCATAATTCACCTTTGTCCACGACCTTAGATATGAAAATTCTTCCACATAATCTACATGTATGATCCTTAATAATGATCGGGTGCAAGTTTCATTAAATTGCATACTTAAAAGTTTCTGAAGTAATATTAAACATTACTTACTTTTGACCTTGACCTTGACCTTGTTCATAAAATTTCTTCCACATAATAAAGTGATGCTTGATAATAGGCCATTTTTGTAATGTAGCCAAATTTAATGCATAAGTCTTTGTGAAGTGCCTCAATACATGTTATTTCATTCACCTGAAAAGAATAATAGTATTTCAATAGACAGAATCCGAACTGCATATATTAGTTGTTGCCAGGTTGGACAAACATTATGGCTTGACCTACCTAGCAACACTAAATATATGCAGTTTGCCTTCTGACTATTGAAATACTATTATTCTTATAAGGTGAATGAAATAACTTGTACTGAGGCACTTCACAAAGACTTATGCATTAAATTTGGTTACATTACGAACGTGGCCCATTGCTATATGCAATTTTCATCAAATTTGGACATAACCTTTTGAAATGAGAGTGATTTTAAATTTTTGATGCCGGGGTAGGAAAAAGCGGTACCTACATTGTATGTCTCACTCTAGCTATGCAGACGAGACAAAAAATCTTCAGAGAATCATGACAGTTAAATAATGACTCTGTAAATCACTCTGCTATCACAATTATTCTTTTGTTGAACAAACAAGACATAAAGGAGACATAAAGAAGAAAAAAAAGGTCAAACTGAATTACTTACCAGATCACACAGCACTCTTCACCAGAATGCAGCTAAAGGTCATGCCAGGATTTCTGCGAGAAACTTCCAACTTTTTATTGCTGGAAAACAAATGAAAATTTTCAAAAAATTAATTATTTGCCAAGTTGACCCGGCCGAGTCTTGTCATAGATTACAGTTTGAATTCATAAACATACCGTTTCCCTGGTTCTGAGATAAAAATTGGATAACTCGTATAAAGTAATTCCGTAAATTTCGCCTTTGGAAATACGTAATTTAAATTTTTTAAATTTTACATAGAAAAGAAATATGTATTTTTTCTTCTGTCTCATTTTTTATTTCAATTAGATCTAAATCAAGAAAAATGGGAGAGAAAGTTTTTGTACCAGAACTTCCAGAAGTGGTACAAAATCGGTAGTAATCGATCAATCTACCCCCATTGTGCGAGCCGTAAAAAGTACCATCTAAATGGGAAATGTTGGCAAAAGTCCGTTTTATTAAAGAATGACCCATACTAGACGGTTATTTCTGTCTAACCCAAACCATGCTAACCCAATCCTGACCTAAACTGAAGTAGTATCACCAACCTAGACCGAAAAATCAGGTCAACGTCGCTATTCATAAGGACCGCTATTCATAAGGACCGCTATTCATAAGGTCCGCTTTTCATAAGGACTGCTATTCATAAGGCTGCTTTTCATAATTTGAGAATAGGGTTCCTATTCATAATACTAGAAAAGGGTCGCTATTCATAACACGACAAGAGGGTCGCTATTCATAACACGGAATGAGGGTCGCTATTCATAATACCGAAAGAGGGCCGATCGCTATTCATCAGGATCATTATTCATAATCGAAGAAGAGGGTCACTATTCATAACACGAGAAGAGGGTCGCTATTCATAATACAAGAAGAGACTCGCTATTCAGAAAACGAGGAAAGGGTCGCTATTCATAAATTTTAATGAGGGTTGCTATTCATAACAGGAGAAGAGGGTCCCTATTCATACAAAAATGAAAGTAAAAAAAGCAATAAACAAAATGATAATAAGAAAGCAAAATGGATAGGGGACACCCCACGGCTGTAGCGTGGGTGCGGGGGGTGGGGGGGGGGGGGGGGACGCCACATGGCCCTGAATGTTTGTAGAAAACATTCATTGAAAACATACATTTTTTTTTTAAAGAAAAAAAAGGCATGCCCCAATAAGATATGTGACCCATCATCCCGGGCCCTAGCCCCCTCCCCCCCCCCCCCCCAATCAGTCTGACCAAGCTGCGCGATTCGGCCCACCCACCCTGAAGTATTTCCTTGGTACAAGTGCATATTATCGACAATTCTCGTCCAAGTAGTTCATAGATGGCGTAGCCTGTGTGTGTTTCATGGGGGGGGGGGGGGGGGGTGGTGGGGGTGTAGCACTGTTGCCATCAAGGGGCTGATCTAACATGTCCCTTATCCTCAGCAAAGGAAGGAAGCGACAGAGAGGGGGTTATAGGGACCTAAGTTATATACAATATTCAAGCTTTTCGTAAATATACAATACAAGTAAGGATTTTCAAGATTTTAAGCCATATAAGATACGATTTTGTGACCTTAAGGCATTATGGGAACGGTGGCGTCCCCTGTATCATGTCTTTTTAAAAGTATTTTTTTCTTTTCAGCTTTGATAATTATATAGAGACATCCCCATAATCTAGCTAATATATTTCCCCCGCTTCAGTGGGGACAAGAGAAAGGAAAACAAAACACAGCCATAATCCTGTCATAATTTGTCCCCTTTGTGGGAAATCTTGCTCCCCCTCCCCCCCCCCCCTCCCCCCCCCCCCTCAACTGAGAGTCAAACTTATGAACATTTATTTTGGTGACAATTAAGACGATACATTTTACAAGGAAACCACCTCGGCCACCCCCCCCCCCCCCCCCCCCCCCCCCCCGAAAATAAACATAAATGTTCAATATCTGACTGTCCGAGTCGTCATCATATAGGCATAGGCGGCATGGGGGTGGAGGGTGGGGCTGGATATTTCATAATTCAAATTCAAATTGTATTGATTTAAAAAGAATCTTTAATTTGTGAATGTATAGAGAGAAAAGGTGAGTAGATCTACACAAATCACAGACCAATTGACACTGTTGCAGTTTGTGTCAGCATCATCAGGACAGAGCTATTACCAGCCAGGCCCCTATTTCTATTAGTTATTAGCGTTCCCGCACAGAAAATGTACCCATGACATTGTGCACAGAATTTTTGGAATAGAATACTCATCTTTCTATTACAATAATATCAAAACAAAACAAAAGACAAGGGATTGAAACAATTATTTGCATACTAAGTTAACTAACACTAACAGTAGTTCGATCTAAATCTAGACAAAATCTAGTCACTAATTTCAAAGTTAAACTCATAGTCTTAAACCACCCTGACACTTGCACGATATTGGTTTGCGCATTGGTTTGCCCATTGTTTCATGTCACGTTTTTGCCATAACAGGAAGCGTTTGCGGAACATGCTGGAGGATGATCGAGGCCAATGCGGGACAAAGCTTGAAATTTGTGGCAGAATTTTCAAAATGTTTAAAATTTTGGCACAACAAATTTGGTGGATGACTTTCGTGAACACTTCAGGAACATGAGTATCCTATACGTATTCTACCTGTGTCCATACTGACCGGTGCGTGCCAATGCCCGAGTGACACGCATGTTTACGACTAGTTCACTATATGATTTACAAATAAATTGCTCATAATTTGTGCATCGGCTGCGGATACTTCCAGCAGTTTTCACATTACTTGCGCATTTTCTACGCATGGGCATTCGACGGCACAGAAAACTAAGGAAAACAGGAAAAGAAAAAGTGACCGCTGCGCGCTGAAAGCATCTTGTAGATCTAACACTGCTTGAATATTAATGGCGTGAACAATATTTAAGTATGGCGTATATGCGGGACTCAAAATTTGTGAAAGCTTCAGGGTGGCTAAACTCTTATTTAACTTAGTCTAAACTCTAGTTTAAAATAAAATGAATAGTAGTGAGTGATCGACAACCATGAACAACACCATGCATTTACCGCCGTCCACACTTAATAATTTCAACAGTTAATAATAATAGTCTACCCATATTTTAAAACAAATACTGAAATGATAACACATTAGACTTAGAGTTAGATTTAGAATTCATAGTACGAACAATCGTCCGTCTTGACTTGGACCTATATATTGTCCATTGTCCATTGAAATTGATTTTATCTACATCTCTAGATTTACTAACACCGAAATCAACAGGTGGGACAACCCGAGTTTTGAGTTCGAAATATCTGCTTAAATGTGTTATAAATTGGTATAATTTAAGCAGCGACTTCAGATTTTCATTAAATTCATGCATCTAATATCATAAAAGTACAACTAGGTACACGAAACACAGTTTTCTTACCAATTTTACATCCCGTTCAGACGCTGCTACAGATTCGACGGTTCATCGTCTGCTAGAATTGAAGGAGGGCGGGTTTCATGAACCGTCGAATTCGCGGATTCGTCGGTTCATGCAATCGCTCCGGGCAACGTTTCGTTTGTAGTAAAAATATAAATATGTTTTTGTCAAAAATTATCTCAAATCAGCATCTGAAAATTTGTCAGTAGAAAGATATTATAACAATCAACGCAATTATGGAGAAAAAAAATTTTGAAAAATTTGCCAAAAATCGACGGATTCGACGGTTCATGTAAACGCTGACGGGACCCCCTTGATCGACGTTCATGATCACAAATAAAATAATAATCATATATATACAAATAATGTCCCCATAGCCCTGTCTAATAGTGGTTACTACAGTGTCCTCTTGTTTCGGAGTTGCAAAGTACTTAAATAACGTAGGCATTGTAATAATTACTAAAGCCAATATATATTAGTTAACTATAATAACTAAAATAAGTTATAATTAAAAGTTATATTTCTAGTTATAGCGCCAATTTTGAATGATGAGCGCTTTACAATGATATTATTAGCCCGGTCATAGGAAACAATGCAAGCCAGCGCACATTGTGTGCACCATCTCAACTCCCTGGGGAGCAATCTTCCTAAGCGGCTCATTGGCATTGAGAAGAACTTGTACATGAGGGGTCTTACCTTCTACAGGGTATTCATTTATACACCCGAGTATAAAGCATCAATAATTGTGGATAAATTGCCTTGATGAAGGTCAAAAAGGCAGTGGGAAAGGTTCGAACTCGGGATCCTATTATCGGAAAGCATGCGCTCTACCAATCTTGAAAAGCCACATGCACATGAATGTGCATATAGCGCGAGTTCCTGTATATACTTGTACAGGAAGTCGGACAGATGACTCCCTTGATCGACGTTCATGATCACAAAATTATATATACAAATAATGTCCCCATAGCCCTGTCTAATCGTGGTTACTACAGTGTCCTCTTGTTTCGGAGTTGCAAAGTGCTTAAATAACGTAGGCATTGTAATAATTACTAAAGCCAATATCAGTTAACTATAATAACTATAATAAGTTATGATTAAAAGTTATATTTCGAGTTATATAGCGCCAATTTTGGATGATTAGCGCTTAACAATGATATTATTAGCCCGGTCATAGGAAACAATGCAAGCCAGCGCACATTGTGTGCACCATCTCAACTCCCTGGGGAGCAATCCTCCTAAGCGGCTCATGGGCATTGAGAAGATCTTGTACATGAGGGGTCTTACCTTCTACAGGGTATTCATTTATACACCCGAGTATAAAGCATCAATAATTGTGGATAAATTGCCTTGATGAAGGTCAAAAAGGCAGTGGGAAAGGTTCGAACTCGGGATCCTATTATCGGAAAGCATGCGCTCTACCAATCTTGAAAAGCCACATGCACAATCATGAATGTGCATATAGCGCGAATTCCTGTATATATACTTGTACAGGAAGTCGGACAGATGACTCCCTTGATCGACGTTCATGATCACAAATAAAATACTAATCATATATATACAAATAATGTCCCCATAGCCCTGTCTTATCGTGGTTACTACAGTGTCCTCTTGTTTCGGAGTTGCAAAGTGCTTAAATAACGTAGGCATTGTAATAATTACTAAAGCCAATATCAGTTAACTATAATAACTATAATAAGTTATGATTAAAAGTTATATTTCGAGTTATATAGCGCCAATTTTGGATGATTAGCGCTTTACAATGATATTATTAACCCGGTCATAGGAAACAATGCAAGCCAGCGCACATTGTGTGCACCATCTCAACTCCCTGGGGAGCAATCCTCCTAAGCGGCTCATGGGCATTGAGAAGAT